GAATTCAGCTTACGCTTTCGGACCAGGGGTCTCCTGGTCTTGAAGGACCGTCGACTCTACTATGCTGTGACTGATCACACAGGGACACACAGTCGTAGAGGTGGGAGCCTCTGCCCCCGTGGGGACCCTCTGCAGACACAGTTGAGGGAAGAGGGTCCAGCCTTTTCCCGGAGCCCACAAAGGAGGGAGGGCTCAGAGCCTCCCACGGGCCAGGGCTCACCCCGGTTCCAGTGAAGACATGTGACCCTCTCTGGCCAACTGCAGGGGCCACTCCCAATCCATTCCTTTCATCTTAAAAAGGCTGATTTTTCTTGTATGTGACTGGGCATCAGATATTACGGACTTGCTCTTAGTTTTTCTAGCTATGCCACGTAAGCTGTTAGAGCTCCTGAAACGTTTGTGGGGGAAATGACATGGCATTTTTTTTTTTGGAACAGCTCCACAGAAGCAAAAAAACAAACAAAATGGGCAGAGGGCCGATGGTGTAGGAGGGGGCGAGTGGCTGACAGCGACCCTCAGCCACTCACGCTCCCCCTCCGCTTCTGTGCGTGTTGGGAATTTCAAAACAAAACGTCGGGGAATGCCAACTCCTTTCTCCGCCATCTGCACAGACATATTCCAAGGGGCTTATCACTAGAGGAGCTTCCGTGGCTGGGGCTGTGAGGGTGGTCGAGGAGGCTTGAGCCTTCCGGTGACGCAGTGGCAAGTCACCTCCTGAGCCGAGCGGTGGCCCCCGCACACCACAGCTATTTCCTAGGCACCTCAGGGCTCCCTACCCAGGATCTGGAGCCCGGCACTGAGGCCACCTGCCTGCCAGCAGGGAGGAGAGGTGCTAAGAACAAACCCAGGCCCTGTCCCCTGAAGCCCCCACCTCTAACGCTCTACGCTCTGTGTGACTGCTCGTTCTGCGAGCATGCAAACAGAAAAAATAAAAACTTTTGAAGCAGCAAATCCCAAGAGAATAAAGAACTCTTTAAGTGTTTTTTAAAGTGTGTTAAGTTTTTAAAGTTTCAATGCAGACCTACGTTATTCCCAGCAATTATAGTAGCTGAATTGAGAAATCACAAATAAATCTGAATTTTGTCCTCAAGATCAAGATTTCTGAAAGCTGTTGAAATCTTGCTAAGAGTAAGGTTGCGCCAAGGTGCACGCCCACCAGCAGGACAGTGATGGGTGTGTACACTGCTCCCGCTGTCCTGGAATGCACTTGACCTTCGGCCCACTGAGAATACATCCTCTGATGAAACCAGACGTGAAAGTACATCAGAAGTGGGTAAGAGCTACGGACCTGGAGCCGACCTACCCGGCTCTGCCACTTGCAGCTGCGTGACCTTGGGCGAGTTCCTTAACCTCTCTGTGCCTCAGTTTACTCACCTGTGTAACGGGGACAAGAGTCATTTCTTACCTCATGGAACTATCGTGAGGACACATGGATCGACAGCCTAGCATACAGTAAGTGCTAAATAAATGTGAGCTATTATTACATAGCCAGCGATACAGGCTAACGATCTCTACTATCTATGGCAAGGACTAGCTTGCTTGTCTGTTTTTCCCAGTCTATTGGACTAACACTTTTATAAATATAGCAAAAATACATCACTGGAAAGGCTAAACGAAAACTTTAAAACATACAGAATCCATGCCATTGATCAGAAGGTGTGGCACCGTCAAAGTGCCACAAGCCTTTCTAAACGCCTGGTCCCAACTTCTGTACCCCCATTGCAGGCAGGTCGCCGCCGGTGGCCACCCATGAGACCTACGCCTGACAGTCTCCTCTGACAACCATGATGAACTGTACACAACCCCAGTACCCTGCAACAGGCAGACACTCATGTCACTGGTCGTCCCTAGTGAGAAAGCCATCTTGCTGTGACTACATCGGGGGTGGGGGCGGGGATGGTGCACAAGTGTTTCCTTTCTATAACGTTATCTGTTTCCCAAAGTTTTCACAATGAGCATATATTATTTTTGTAAGAACAACAGCCACAGGAGCCAGGATTCAAAGCTATGCTGAAAGAAGCCATAAGGGTCAAGGCCGCCGACCGTGTGTGCACAGCTGTGGTCACTGTTCTAAACTCTGCTGCAGTGTCAGGCAGGCCAGAAGCAAAACTGTAAATGTCCCTCTTCATGAAGCCAGGGGCTTTGGCCCACTCACTGCCCTACAAACCTGAAACTCACTCACCAAGGAGCAGACAACAGATGACAGCCCAAACTGTCACACTCTCCACAGACTGACCATTGAGATGGGGCGGGGCAGAGTCCAGAGACCCAGGAAAACACCCAGCATGCAGTCTTCCTTTTCGAGTCCCATACCTGCATGGAGAATGAGGCTGGGTTGTGTCTTGGAGGTGCCAGGGACAGCAGGAGAGCGCCTCCTTGCTGACGACTTTGACAGCTGACGGGGAGCAAGGGGTGTCTGGCTGTCATCCAGATGCCCCAGAGAGGGGGGCTGAAGTTTCTCAGTTGCCTGCAGGGAAAAATCACAGAGCAGGGCAGGGTGTAGGGAGCAGGTAGGGAAGGAATGAAATGTTCAGGTCATTTTGAGCTGAAGTCAAGCACTGCTTGAATGCCTACTGCATGCCAGACTGCTGTAGGCACATGGGGTATCACAGTGAACAAAACAGGCAGGATCAGTGGTAACATTCTCCCTGAACCCCGAAGATGAAGGAAGGAAGGAAGGAAGGAAGGAAGGAAGGAAGGAAGGAAGGAGGGAAGGAGGGAAGGAGGGAAGGAGGGAAGGAGGGAA